CAATGTATCTTTTGGGGAACACAATTCAATCTGTAACAATTCCCAAAAGAATTAGAGACAGATTTTGTGTTATTCTAAAAAACAGAAAGTAAATATTTCAAGAGTCTTAAAGGATCCAGGGATTAAACATTCCCCAAAGCTGCCTGTGGACATGAACAATGAAATATACCAAAACCTTTTGGGAATAATTTACTGAGAATTTGGAAGTCCAGTGATGATTAAACCCACAATGAAATGAGTGGAATGGCCTGATTAAAAATGGGAAGTAGAAGAGCTGGACATAGTCCAGGCAATAAAAATATAGAGCCACCTCACAGACACAGCACTGCAGTTTAAAACTATATACCAATACAAGAAAGTTCAAATGAGATACAGCATTACACAGTTAACCAAAACCTGGAAATCTGAGCTGTGGGTCCCAATAAACATCTTCAATGATATCCCAATTTGGAAATACACCACAAGGGATTAGAACAGAAGTACAAGTAATCCCTGACTTATGGCGGGGTTCCATTCGACGACTTCATCGTAAGTCGGTTCTGACATAAGTCAATATCTTTTTTTTTTTTTTTTTAGTTTTCATTATTATTGCCTTTTATTATCAGCATCTTTATAAATCTGATCTTTGAACACCTGGGAGTGAACATCTGGGAATGGTAACGTCAGCAAATTTCACACTGCAACATTGTGTGTAGTACATATTACTGACAATAAGATATACCAGAAAAACCCAGGTGGTGGTTAAGTGCAGTTCACCATGACTCGGATACGCTGTAAGTCAGGGACTACCCGTAATTAAATGTTGTTACTGCGGAGACTAAGCCCGAATCCTGGAATATACTGCTCCATGGAACTTTCTAAGTTGGTATCTACCTGGCATTGGGGAACTTCATAAAAAAATCTCCAAGCCCAGTAAGAGAGAAGTCCTGCTCACCATTCTAAGCCTTTCTGCCTATAAGCATCTGTTCTTGTGACTTCTCGGGGACCTAGATGAACTGCAGCTGTCCTCTTGGGCAGAACAAGCCTTCAGTCATTTGATCGCTGTCCCAGTGGGGATGCAGATGCCAGCACACACACATCCTGATCCTCGCGGCCGGAATCTGCTCACTGCCAGTTGTCAGATGTGTGCAGTTTCAGTAAGGAGGGCCAGGTAGCCGTGTTAACATGTTTTGGAAGAGGACAGAGAGGACTGGAATCCAGAGTAATCAGCACGTGTACGTTGGGAAGGCTGCCACACGTGATGAAGAGCTGTGTGCAGATGTTTCCTTCTGCTTTACCTTTCCCCTCCGGAACACCTACGATCCTTGGGTGATAACCAGAGTCTTAGTTCACTGTTGACTCTGTTTGCCGAGACCTCGAAACACAAAAATGGTGCAGAGTCTTACTGCAACGGTGTGGATCGAGCAACCCAAGAAAACCGAGCCTTTACAGACAGGCAGACTGTGGTGACTCCATACCTGCGTGTCCTTCGAGCCTCTCTTGTTGGTGAATCCTGCAGACAGCACTTGCAAGGACGGACCAGGGTGAAACATACTGGGTGTCTTAGTCATCTAGTGCTGCTGTAACAGACATACCACAAGTGGGTGGCTTTAACAAATAGACATCTATTATCTCACGGTTTAGAAGTCTACTTTCAGGGCACTGGCTCTGAGGGAATGCTTTCTCTCTCTGTCAGCTCTGAGGAAAGTTTCTTGTCTGTTCAGCTTCTGTTCACCACCTCCTTGGTGATCTCCATGTGGAGTAGCATCTGTCTTCCCCCTTCTCTGCTTGCTTGCTTAATCTGCTGTTGTATCACAAAAGAGATTGATCTAAGACACATCTATCTTAGCTATCTAGTGCTGCTATAACCACAAGTGGATGGCTTTAACAAAGAGAAATTTATTCTCTCACAGTCTTGGAGGCTAGATGTCTGAATTCAGGGTGCCAGCTCCAGGAGAAGGCTGTCTGTCTTTGTCAGCTCTGGGGAAATGTCCTTGTCATCTATCTTCCCCTGGTCTCTGAGCTTCTCAGCGCAGGGACCCTGGGTCCAAAGGACACGCTCCCCTCCTGGTTCTTCATTCGTGGTGCCATGAGGTCCCCGTCTCTCTGCTCACTTCTCTCTCTTATATCTCAAAAGAAATTGACTCAAGTTACAGCCTAATCTTGTAGATTGAGTCCTGCCTCATTAACATAACTGCCTCCAATCCTGCCTCATTAACATCATTGAGGTAGGATTTACAACACATGGGAAAATCACATCGGATGACAAAATGGTGACAACCACATAATACTGGGAATCATGGCCTAGCCAAGTTGACACACATTTTTGGGGGACACAGTTCAGTCCATAACAACATCCTACACTAATACTGCCTCCATTAACATAACAAAGAACCCATTCCTAAATGGGATTATAACCTTAGGTATAAACCAAAACCAAACCCATTGCCGTCGAGTCAATTCCGACTCATAGCAACCCTAAAGAACAGAGTAGAACTGCCCCATAGGGTTTCCAAAGGTCTAAATCTTTACTGAAGCACACATGTTTCTCCTGCGGAGTGGCTGGTGGGTTCCAACAACTGACCTTTCCGTTAGTAGCCACGCACTTTAACCACTGCGCCACCAGGGCTCCTACTGTAGGTATTGTTGTTGTTGTGTGCCCTCGAGTCGGTTCCGACTCATAGCAACCCTATTGGACAGAATAGAACTGCCCCATAGGGTTTCCAAGGAGCGGCTGGTGGAGTCTATAGGTATAGGGGTTAGGATTCACAACACATATTTTGGGGAGGACACAGTTGAATCCATAGAAATGGGTACTAACTAGACTCTTCTGCGACATGTGGCCAACACATCATGATGCAGCGGTGCCTCCTGGGTCCTCGGAGTGTGAGAGGATCTGGGAAGAGGCATAGTGCGGGATGGTGTTGCCTTCACGCTTCTCGTCCTGCCCGGAGTATTTCCACATCTGGTCACAGTCACAGATGTGTCTGCGCAGGTGGGGGACATAGAAAGGGCCGCTTTCCCAGCAGAACCATCCGTTTTTTAATTGTCGTTGGAGCGCTTGTCTGAGCACCCCTTGAGGATGGTGCTGGGTGCCGTGAGTGCACGTCGGAGATCAGATGTCTGGACTCGGGGGTTTATGGCAGAGCGAGGGAGGGAGACCAGCAGAGAAGGGCATCCATGTGGGGCCTGAGGGTCAGCTGTTCCCAGAGAAGGGGACACTTCAGCTAAGTGTCACAGGTCAGCTTCAAATCCCAGTCCTACAGCTCAGAAACGCAGGGTCTGACCTTGAACGTGTTACCTAGCCTGCTCTCGCGTCAGCTTTCCTCATCTGTAAAGTGGGAGTGGTAACCGTGCTGCTTCACGTCTCAGGATCAAGTGACAAGTTCACAGAGCCCTGACCTTGTGCGGTGCCCACACGTGGTGAGTACGGGGCCCCAGTCCCCGTGTCCTCAGAGGAAACCGTGGACTGGGCGGCCTCCAGCAGTTCCTCATCCATGTGTGTCTGTGTGAAGGTGCAACAATGATCTGAATAACGTGATCTGGTAATGACATGCCAGCACTGGGCATTTTGTCAGATCCTCCTCTCCCAGCATGTGGCATGGCCAGGCCTCCCAGGGACAGGTGGAAAGTGGCCCTGGCCCTTTGTCTACCCACAGAGCTGCTCCTGAGGCCAGGTCTGCCCCTGGCTGCCTTTCATGTGACACAGGCCGTCTCCACTGCAGACTGTCCCTTCACTGCTGAGAGCACTCGAACGATGAAGAAGGGGATGGGCTGAGCACACTCCTGACACCCTGTCATGAGACCCCCCCCACTTCACACACAGGACGGGGGTCCCGTCTGCACAGTGCTGTGTCGTGAGACTCCCCTATGTCACACACAGGACGGGGGGTGGTCCTGTCTGCACAGTACTGTGTCATGAGACCCTGCACTTCACACACAGGATGGGGTGGAGAGGGGAGGGTCCTATGTGCACAGTGCTCTGGCCGCCCCAGCAGACAGCACATCCAGGACCCCTGGCTTTGATGACAGCACGTGGGGTCGCTGTGAGTCGGAGTGGACTCAGTGGGGGGGCTGGCTGGTTGGATGGTGACAGTAGTGCTTTCACGGTGACTTCGCGGGCCTTCCGCGGATCCTGCTGGCTCAGGTTTCCTCTGAGTTACAGGCAGCCTGCAGCCTGGCCCGTTCCCGCCCCGAGGGAGTCACGCTGGAGGGGACACTGTGGTCACCGAGGACCGGAAGAAGTGGCCCTGAGCGGCGGGCAGGGGCTGCCCCAGGGGCTCCGTGGGGCAGGGCGGCCGCGCCTTGGGCTGTGCTCAGCCCGGACGCGTCCTACAGAGACTGGGCCCCGGGCTGGCCAGAGCCCCCACCCCTGCCCAGGCCTGTTCTGCTGCTTCTGGCCCCCGTGTCCCCACCCCAACTCCCGCCTTCCCCCTGACCCTCCACCCTGGAGAAGACACGGAGGCATAACCGTGCCCACTTAGAATCCGAGCCCCCAACCTTGAGCTCAGAGGGCCTTGGAGCCCCACGTGCAGCCAAGGGAGGCCGAAGCAGGTGGACTAGCAAGCAAAGCCCAGCTACGCTACGCGGGGGCGCTCCCGAGGTAAAGCGCTCACGTGCCTCCGCGCAGCCCAGCTCTGACCCGCGTGGGCCTGCGGGCGTGCGAGTCTCCCCCAGGCCTGGGTCCTGTTCTCCAACTGCGCCCCTTCCCAGCTTTCTTCTCTTGCCCAGGTGCTCTGCTGACACCCCAACAGCCGACCCTCCCAGTCTCTCCCCATCCTTGGAAGGGCCCCGCCTGGTGTGTACAGCCAGGGGCACCCTGAGGGCGCCTCCCGCCTGGAGGGGCAAGCCCCTCACCGCTCCCTGCCCTCACCCCCTGCAGCCAGCCGCCCCCACCGCCATCACAAGCCTGGGCTGGGGGCTCGGGGTTCTCACCAGGACCACCCTCGTCCGCTGTCGGAGAAGCGGTGGGAGAGGGGGGCCATCTGGTCATTCTGATGTGTTGTCTCTCCTGTTGGCAGGTGCTGGCCTGGACGGAGTCGAGGAGATTAAGCGGCACCCCTTCTTCGTGACCATAGACTGGAACGTAAGTTCACGTCACATCCCCGGTTGCTGGCAGATGAGAGGGAAATGGGTGGAGGTGACGGTGGGAGCTGCGTGTACAAACCAGGCTTCTGTGTCCACGTGGAGAATCACTGGATGTCAGTGGAGACAGGCCTGGGGCTTCAGAGGCAGACCAGTGACCCCCCTCTCTACCTTCTCTCTTAGCCTTCAAATCCCGGGAACTTCCCTTGGCTGGTTAGAGACAGGGCTTTAATTGGTCCTGCAACCATGACCTGGCCCCCAGGGACGAGACTTTCCCAACTGACCCAGAGGGGTCATCTTACAGCACAATGCCTGGGGTCAGCTGGGCCCTGCTGAGCTCGCCCTTCCTGGCGTCGGGGTGGATGACAAGTCTCAGATCCTGTCCATGTTCTCACTTCTCATCAGGCTCACATCTTGTCGATGTTGCTGTTAGCTGCTGTCCAGTCAGCCCCTGACTCATGGGGACCCCACGCACAACAGAACAAAATGCTGCCCGGTCCTGCACCGCCCCCAGGATCGGTTGCAGATCAGACCATTGTGGTCCATAGGGTTCTCACTGGCTGATTTTCAGAAGGAGTTCGCCAGACCTTTCCTCCTCGTCTGTCTTAGTCTGGAAGCCCTGCTGAAACTGGTTCAGCATCACAGCAGCATGCGGGCCTCCACGGACAGACGGGTGGTGGCCGCGCATGAGGTGCGTTGGCCGGGAATTGAACCCGGGTCTCCCACATGGAAGGGGGGAGTTCTACCACTGACCCGCCACTGCCCCAATCACTCTTGTGGGAGTCTCGTGAAAAAGCCAGTGCCGTGTAGTTAGACGACAATAAACAGGAGCTTCTTTCCAGGAGCGAGGCCTGGTTCCCAGCTCCCTGTGGCCTGTCCTACGTGCTTTGCTCAGGATGCCGTCTCAACAGTCCGAGTCTCACTCTCCAGCCTGTACGTGGCGACCACCTCTTTCTGCCAGGGGCCCACTCTTCTTGGAAGGATTGGTACAGCCAGCTTTTGATGTGTCCGCTGACCGAGTGGGTCACACGGATACCTGGCATCTGAGAAGCTGGGTCTGTTCTTTGCACCCCGAGGAACGCATGCTGCGTCCACTGCCAGCTTCTTTTTCACACCTTTCCTTTTGGTTAACACAACGACACGTATGTTTGGGGTTTTCTTTTCCTAAGCTATCAGATTAACCTTGGAGGACTTTAACTAAATATTTTTTAAAAATTTAAAAACTCTTTTTAGGACAGAGTGCCTTACTTCCTTTTGCCTTTCCTCTGTGTCTGTTTTACGTCCTTATGGAGATTGGCGCCTCCAGAAATACCAGTAAGATATTGTATAAACGGCTTAGGGGTGGTGTCTGACCTCCTCCAACCCCACAAGGGGGAAGGAGAACCAAGATCAACAGCGGAAGGCGGACTCCCGGGAGGCGAAGGCCAGACAAGCCTCCTCTCTCCGCCATCTTTACTAATTCTGACACCAACCGTCCCTCCCACGGCAGTCTCTACTTCTCTGCTGGGTTCAGTAATTCATTGCAATGGCCACACAGAACTCACAGACCATACTCACAATTATGGGGTTTATTAGGGAAGTAACAGTTACAATTCAGGCTCAAGAACACTCAGGATACAGTTCTTCCATCAGGACAGCCTCTCCCCACTGTGGTCGCAGGCACGCCTCTCCCTGGCCCTTGGCGTCTGTCCAGAGGCACTCAGCATTCTCTGTTCACGGGTTGGGAAGCCCACTGCTCCATCTCCTACTGCCAACTCTCTGCAGCTGGGTCTCTCCTGCCACTGCTTCTCACTGTTTTCAGGGGTACGGCTCTCTCTTTCTCTCGGTCTGCTGCTTCCAGGAGCTTCTCGGCACAGGGATCCCGGATCCAAAGGACACTCTGTCCGCTCCAGGCTGTTCTTCCTTGGTGGTGGTGGGCTCCTCCTCTCTGCTCTGGAATTGGCTCTCTTAAGACAAAACTGACCAATCCCCTTGGTGGCCACAGTGACCCTGTCACACAGTCCCACCCAGTCACCTGGGTGGAAGTTACAAGACCTTGGCTAGAAAGGCCCCACATGAAAGTAATCAGTCGCACCGCAGATACAGAGACTGTAGCAAAGACAGAAGGGCAGTCCCATCCCCAAGCCTTCAGTCTTGCTCCAGAAATGTTGCAACACGAGTCCTGGATAGCACAGTGTCAACAGGCACCCCGACCTTCCTCATCAGAGCTCACACCTCCTCTCTCCTCCTGAGCCCAGGGAGGCTTGCTGGTTGATAGAGCATGAAGGCTTTTTTAACCTAGATTTACAGTGCTGATTATAGAACTTCTGTAAGCCAAGATTAGACCCCTTTTCAAAGGTCAGATTAAAGAGAAGTATGTAAAATTTTGGGATATCTATGACCTCTCAGCCAGGTAGAAAACCTTGTTCAAATATCAAATAGAAATCAGATTGTGTTCAAATAAGTGGAGAGCTTTAAAAAGCAAAGATGTCACTTTGGGAGCCCTTGTGGCGCAGTGGTTAAGCGCTCAGCTACCAACCAAAAGGTCGGCGGTTCGAATCCACCAGCTGCTCCTTGGAAACCCTATGGGGCAGTTCTACTCTGCTCTTTAGGGTCGTTATGAGTCTGAATCAACTTGACAGCAGTGGGTTTGGTTTTTTGGAGAGGTCTTCAAAGAAATGAAAAGTGCTGTTTCCCTGTGACATCTCTCTTTGTTTAGCTTTCCTGAAAACGTGCTTATAAGGAGCTCAGGTCACCCTGAAGGCACCAGTGAGCATCTAAAGCTCACTTCGGTTAATTGCCTGTAAGCTGGATTTATCTTCTGTGGAGGCTCCGTGTGGTTAGACTCAGACAAGCCTGCACGTGACCCTGTGCAATCCTGCACAGCAGCACAATTAGGGAGCAGTAGACACTCCCCCGTAAAACCTAAACCAAACCCGTTGCCAGCGAGTCAATTCCGACTCATAGCGACCCTGTACGACAGAGTAGAACTGCCCCATAGGGGTTCCAAGGAGCGCCTGGTGGATTCCAACTGCTGACCTTTCAGTTAACAGACGAGCTCTTAAAAACCAGTTGCCGTCCAGTCAGCTCTGATTCACAGCGACTCCATGTGTGTCAGAGTAGAACTGCCCCATAGGGTTTTCAGTGGCTCATTTTTCAGAAGCACATCACCAGGCCTTTCTTATGAGGCCCCTCTGGGTGGACTTGAACTTCCAACCTTTCAGTTAACAGCCGACCGCCTAACTGTTGGCACCACCCGGGGACTCCCTGAGGAGGCTAGCGCCGCCCAGCAGGAGTTTGCATTGGCACTCCTTGTGGGCACGGTGCAGGCCTCCGCCATCTTGCACCCCTTCCCTGGCCCCCCAGGCACCAGGAGAAGAACCGCACAGCTGTGTCCTCGGCCGTCCTGACGGAGTCCGCTCTGTACGGGGTGCGTTTCCGGGGCTGGGGCAGCACTCCCGTGGAGCCTCAGTCTGGCTGCGGTATACACAATGTCACGGAGAAAGTGCCCTGCTGTGAAAGCGGAGGGTGGAGGAGAAGAGGGGAGCCTGGCAGGGCACCCGCCTTCCCTCACACTCACCCCTTCCTGCCGTGCCCCCTCGCGGCACTCTGCAGTCACCCCCAGCCAGCTCTGCAGCCAGGCTTCTACACTAGCTGGTCGGTCCTCCGGAACCCTCCTCCCCGAGATATCCCAAAGGTCACTTCATCACCCCCTGCAAATCCTTTCTCAAACGTCTTCTCGCAGAGACCTGTCTGCCTGCCCCGTTCAACACCGCACCCCGGCACGCCCGACTGCCTGTCTCCAGCTGCCTTTTCCCTGTCCCTTCCCACCTGTCTTGCAACGTGCTCCACAACGTTCCTGAGTTATGATCAGCATTCTTCCGCATTCGAACTGTGGTGTTGGCAAAGAACATCGAGTGTACCGTGCACTGCTAGAAGAATGAACAAATCCGTCTTAGAAGTACAACCAGAGTGCTCCTCAAACATAACGATGGCGAGACTTCGGTTCACTTACTTCGGGCACATCATCAGGAATGACCAACCAGCCCTGTCCTCAGCCGTGCACAGGCTGGGAGAGACGGATCTGTGGCATTATACTACGACGTTGCGCGTCTGACTCCAACCGAGGTGATGGTGTGGGCACGATCAGAGGAAGGAATGAGCTGGATCAGCCCCCTGGAGACCATGGACAGGAGATAGCTGGGAGAGCGTGGGGAGACAGGAAGGAGTCCCCCAAAGGTCTGTGGGTGCAGGAAGCCTGAAAGTGCAAGACCTGCCTTCTAGACCAGGTCTCTCCTGTCCATAGCGGCCTTCCTCCTTCTAGACCAGGTTCTCCTGTCCATAGCGGCCCTCCCCCTTCTAGACCAGGTCTCTCCTGTCCATAGCGGCCCTCCT